GTGGGATTGACCATAACATTACAACGCCCCCACGGCTGAAAGGGCAAGCATGTTTGTTGGGACGGGGATTCAAACCCGCGACTCTCAGATTGCGAGTCAAACACCTAACCACCTGGCCATGCCGGGCCCACAAAGGTGGTAAGCTGTTACTGATGCCAAAGAAGGCCACACTTAAGTATTAGCATTAAAGAAACTTACATCATTTTCGGTACAAATATTTTTCATCATATAAATACAGTACTAGTTGGTTCAGTTTAAATGATTATATAATAAACATTAGTAACTTGCATTTAACATTAAAATGGTTCTTTACAAACATCCTACGGCAAGTCTTTTTTTTTTTGTGTGTGGGGGGGGGGGAGGTGTTAAGGGAAACTATGGGACTGTAAAAAAAAAGGGGTAATACTCCCATGTATTTACACTTGATTATCAGCAATGATTAATTTCTAATCGATCTATAAAAAATCCTACATTGTGATGAGAAGAATGGTCACCAGTTTACGCGTAAATCTGGTAAATGATAATCCAGAGCTGTAATTGGCACCTTATCATATGTCGTTTGGAAGTTCAAACAGGTTTAATTTTAGTCTTCACAGAAAAAAAAAAAACGTCCACTAAACAAATAATAAACTTACGAATTTTCCTTTGAAAAAATACAAGTTTCCATCACGTTGGTCAAAAAACACGCTGTCGATGTTTCCGGGTATGTTTGGGAACCGGGAACCTTGGATGCTACGAAAATTGGCTTTGATACTTTTAGGGTAACCTTCAATGACTGAATGTTTTCCGTTATCATACTTGTAGTAGTAAGGACCTAATCAACATCAAAACAAAACTACGATTATTTGTAAGTCTGTATAATAGACCACAAAAAGACATTATAATGCTATATAATATTCGTAATTTAAAGTTTTATTTTTAACATCTTTAAAACTGCTTGACAGTTGTATTTCTTTTATATTAAAACTGCTTGAGAGTTTTTTTTTCAATTTAAAATTGCATGATAGCTATGCTCATTTTACGTTAAAAACCGCTTTAAAACTAGTTTTTATGTTAAAAACTGCTTTAAAACTTGATTTTATGTTAAAAACTGCTTTAAAATTAGTTTTACGTTAAAAACCGCTTTAAAATTAGTTTTATGTTAGAACTGCTTTAAAACTTGATTTTATGTTAAAAACCGCTTTAAAATTTGTTTTACGTTAAAAACCGCTTTAAAATTAGTTTTACGTTAAAAACAGCTTTAAAACTAGTTTTTATGTTAAAAACTGCTTTAAAACTTGATTTTATGTTAAAAACTGCTTTAAAATTAGTTTTTACGTTAAAAACCGTTCTAAAATTAGTTTTATGTTAAAAACTGCTTTAAAACTAGTTTTTATTTTCTTTCAATTAGATAATTGGACATTTCTTTCACTGCTTTCTTTATTGTTAACAGTGAGGGCCATCAAACAATGTATTATAATCTTGCATGTAAGTACACGAGACAAATATATTTAGCTGTACCTGTTACCAAGGTTGATTTTTAGTTTTGATATAAGAAGGTAGTTTCCTCTCGGTGCCAGAATTATCTTTAGATATACAGTAAAAAAATCAAACAGACTTACATTCTAATACTTCATTATTTGTCTGTTTGTTTCAGAAACACCCACCGCCAACTCTTGGGCTGCTGTAATCGAACAGTTGGATTTGCCCATTACTCTTATAACGCATTCACGGCCCCAAGGTGCAAAGAGTGATTTTACAGCGAAGGGACGCGAACCACAGTCCCTCGGATTTACTATCTTCATGGTGACACAAAATTATAAACTCTCATGTGATTAGTATCCCACTTTTTAAGGCTAAAATAAACGTTACTTAGTGAGTCCTATGTATGTGACATATGTCAGTGAAGGAACGTTATTTAGCGAGTCCTATGTACGTGAGATATGTCAGTGAAGGAACGTTATTTAGGGAGGCCTATGTACGTGAGATATGTCAGTGAAGGAACGTTATTTAGCGAGGCCTATGTACGTGAGATATGTCAGTGGAGGAACGTTATTTAGGGAGGCCTATGTACGTGAGATATGTCAGTGGAGGAACGTTATTTAGGGAGTCCTATGTACGTGAGATATGTCAGTAGAGGAACGTTATTTAGGGAGTCCTATGTACGTGAGATATGTCAGTAGAGGAACGTTATTTAGGAAATCCTATGTACGTGAGATATGTCAGTAGAGGAACGATATTTAGGGAGTCCTATATGTACGCGAGATATGTCAGTGGAGGAACGTTATTTAGCGAGTCCTATATATGTGAGATATGTCAGTGGAGGAACGTTATTTAGCGAGTCCTATGTACATGAGATATGTCAGTGGAGGAACGTTATTTAGCGAGTCCTATGTATGTGAGATATGTCAGTGGAGGAACGTTATTTAGCGAGGCCTATGTACGTGAGATATGTTAGTGGAGGAACGTTATTTAGGGAGTCCTATGTACGTGAGATATGTTAGTGGAGGAACGTTATTTAGGGAGTCCTATGTACGTGAGATATGTCAGTAGAGGAACGTTATTTAGGGAGTCCTATGTACGTGAGATATGTTAGTGGAGGAACGTTATTTAGGGAGTCCTATGTACGTGAGATATGTCAGTAGAGGAACGTTATTTAGGGAGTCCTATGTACGTGATATATGTCAGTAGAGGAACGTTATTTAGGGAGTCCTATGTACGTGATATATGTCGGTGGAGGAGTTAACCTGTCTCTTAAAGAGCCTAACAACAACCCATGAATTTTAAAATGAACATACGAAAGATCCTTGGTGACGACCTCACTCACTTTCCTTTTAATGACATAGAAGATGGTTATTAATGATGTACAGGTCTCACTTTCCTTTTAATGACATAAAAGATGGTTATTAATGATGTACAGGTTTCACTTTCCTTTTAATGACATGGAAGATGGTTATTAATGATGTACAGGTCTCACTTTCCTTTTAATGACATAGAAGATGGTTATTAATGATGTACAGGTCTCACTTTCCTTTTAATGACATAGAAGATGGTTATTAATGATGTACAGGCCTCACTTTCCTTTTAATGACATAGAAGATGGTTATTAATGATGTACAGGTCTCACTTTCCTTTTAATGACATAGAAGATGGTTATTAATGATGTACAGGCCTCACTTTCCTTTTAATGACATGGAAGATGGTTATTAATGATGTACAGGTCTCACTTTCCTTTTAATGACATAGAAGATGGTTATTAATGATGTACAGGTTTCACTTTCCTTTTAATGACATAGAAGATGGTTATTAATGATGTACAGGTATCACTTTCCTTTTAATGACATAAAAGATGGTTATTAATGATGTACAGGTTTCACTTTCCTTTCAATGACATAGAAGATGGTTATTAATGATGTACAGGTCTCACTTTCCTTTTAATGACATAAAAGATGGTTATTAATGATGTACAGGTTTCACTTTCCTTTTAATGACATAGAAGATGGTTATTAATGATGTACAGGTTTCACTTTCCTTGTAATGACATAGAAGATGGTTATTAATGATGTACAGGTTTAAAAACTGTCACAGAAGGTGTTCAATACGTCTCCTACCATTCTCAATCACCATATCATGACCATCCCTAAAGGAACCTTCTGCAAGCATAATACGTTATGGTGATTTTATTCACCGATCTTTTACTCTGATACTAATTCTATTCAAACCACCAAACCAGAGATGTGGGAAGTGATCTAGGGAGTAAGTATAACACGGTTTATAGTGTCCAAACTTATTCTCCTGAATACAACTTATTATTCTCATTATTTTCAAGACCAGAAAACACAACACACAAGTTTTAATTACGGACACAGCCGACGATAGAATCAGTTCACACTAAAAGTGAAAACCCAAGCTTACTGTGTTCATAATTAAAATTTCAACGTTACAATGATACCTTCTGTTAGCTACATCTGTTTGGTTAATTTTCGAGTATTTTCCTCTTAACTGTAGGTTGAGGTACTGCTGTGGCTAAAATTAAGGGATGAGACGCAAATTTTAAAAAATACGAACGTAAATTAAATCTTTTATTTAAAGTCGTTTAATACAAAAAAAAAATCACAAAATAATACGGCAAAAGACTATAGTAGTATTTAGTGTTTGTAGCGCATTCTATCGTGTTTTTTTCAAAACTTTTCAAATACTCTTTCGACTTTTGGGCGAAGAAAAACTTTTGATCATAGCTTTAAAAGGCCTGGTGGTTAGGCCACTCGACTCGCGATCTGTGGGTCGCGGGTTAGAATCTCGTCACCGAACATGCTCGCCATTTCCAGCCACGGGGCGTTATAATGTGACGGTCAATCCCACTATTCGTTGATAAAAGAGAAGCCCAAGAGCTGGCAGTGGGATGGTGTTGACCAGCTATCTTTCATCTAGTCTATCACTTCGAAAGTAGGAACGGTTAACTCAGACAGCTTGATACGAAATTCAACAAACAAACAAACAAATCTTTCATAGTTCATATAAGTTTAGTTCTTTCACTTCTACATTTATAGATGAACAAATCTCATAGGGACATGTTTATTTTGATATACACAGTAACAATATATATATAGATAACATGTTCTAATATTTCTTTACTTATCGGAATTTTCAACTGACCAACTTCAGGAAGTTTCAAAAGGGAATAACATGTCAGCAGGGGTGAAATTATCAAAAAAGTAGACCTACTCAGCAGGGTGAGGTGGACATGATTTTGACAAAAAAAAAAAAATCAACAACAACAACAACAAAAAACAAAAACACGACAAAGCAGCTCAAATAAGTCCCGGTACTAGTACAACAGCCTTAAAGAAAAGTTGTGAGTACCGGCAGAATTTCACACCTGTATGTCAGTGCTCTTGAGGAGAATTTACGAGTTTACGTTGTTTTTTTTCTTTTTTTCTCTCCTTTAACACTTGCATGATGAAAGACAAAACATAATGAACACCCACCTTTAAAGAAGTAAGCCTCGTTTTTAGTGTAAGTCCAAACGTGAACGTAAGCATCTATCTTATCGGGAAGACTTTTCCATTCTGGCTTGATATTCCGAGGGTCACCATAGCGGGTCCGGTTGTATCGGTTTTCATACATCCAGTAATGGTCATTACGAAAGAAAAAAGTGTTGTAGATAAGCTCTCCATCATCTCTTCTCCGAACCCAGTCAAATACTGTATCAAACCGTCCATCACAATCTCCTAAAGTCACAAGAGGCATAACTACTTTTAGTGACAAAATACGGGTTTGTTTATAATTATTTCTAGTTACTCGCGAATAAAACAAAACACGGGTGTATAACTATCTTTAGTTACTCGTGAGGAAAACAAAACACGGGTGTATAACTATCTTTAGTTACTCGTGAGGAAAACAAAACACGGGTGTATAACTATCTTTAGTTACTTATGAGGAAACAACAACAACATGAGTTTATGTAACTAAACTTGTCTTTCTTCTGATTTTAACTCAAACTGTTTGCTATTATTTTGAACAAAAGCAGCTATTTCTAACCCCACTTAATCAAAATGGAAAAATAAAACCAATTTCGTGAAATAAGTCTGATCTACTAAGAGTAAAACCATATAACATTAATTTACGTATGAAAATATGATAATAATTCGAGTCGTGTTTACAGTTTTTAGTGTATAGTACCCACTTTGTGATTTTATTTTCAACATAAAATGACTTGTTTGTTTTAAGCGCAAAGCCGCGTCTGTTGTAGGGATTGAACAGGTATCGTGGTAACAGGGCGCCAACTCTAGGGGGGAGAGGCGCCGATTGACGAACAAAGTGAAAAAAAATGTGTCGTTTTTTGTGTTTTTTTTTTTTTAGGGGCGCAGAATTGATATGTTGCACTGGGCGCCGTCAAACTTCGGTACGACGGTAGGTTTGAAAGCCGATTTTTAACGTTATAAGTCCGAAGACTTGTCAAAGTACACAACTTACCGTAAATCTTCTGGACCAACTTGCGATCCTCCCACCCGAGCTCGAAGTTGTTATTAGGTATTATCTGCGAGTAAATGGCATACATGATGGAGTAGCTGAGATTTGTGTGAAGCAAGCCCAGTGCGTGCCCAATCTCGTGCACAGAAACTTTCACAAGATTGGTTCCATGATCTGAACCAACAGTCAGGTGCTCGTCATCGTCCACGTGGATCTCGGCGTTTGTTTTTAATTTGATTGCATGTGACAGCTGACCACCAGCACCGTCAAAGTGATTGGGGCAGTTCAGATGGTCACCTATAGGCCAGGAAACGGTGCGAGATCAGGTCACAACATATTAAATATCTCATGTTAAAAACAAACAAACAAAGAAAGGATGACAATAGCAACGAACACAAACTTTTACTTATAGTAAAACCTGGATACTCAACTCGCAACCTGCGGGTTCGAATCCTGTCACTGAACAATTCTTGCCCTTTAAAGCGTGGAAGTGTTATAGCTTAATGTCAAACCTATTATTCGTTGGTAAAGAGTAGCCCAGGAGTTGGCGATGGGTGACGTTGACAAGTTGTCTTCTATCTAGTCTATCACTTTTAAGTTAGGGACGGTTAGCGCAGATATCCCCCAAGCAGCTTTGTGCGAAACTAAACAAAAAAACTGTCAATCTATGTACTGTTTATATCAGTTGGTCCTTTGTCGATCTATGTATTGTTTATGTCAGTTGGGGTCTTTTGTCAATCTATGTATTGTTTACGTCAGTTGGTCCTTTGTCAGCTTATGTATTGTTTATGTCAGTTGGTCCTTTGTCAATCTATGTATTGTTTATGTCAGTTGGTTTTTTTTGTCAATCTATGTATTGTTTACGTCAGTTGGTCCGTTGTCAGCCTATGTACTGTTTATGTCAGTTGGTCCTTTGTCAGTCTATCTATTGTTTATGTTAGTTGGTCTTTTGTCAGTCTATGTATTGTTTATGTCAGTTGGTCTTTTGTCAGTCTATGTATTGTTTATGTCAGTTGTCCTTTTGCCAATCTATGCATTGTTTACGTCAGTTGGTCCTTTGTCAGCTTATGTATTGTTTATGTCAGATGTGGTCTTTTGTAGGTCTACGTATTGTTTACATCAGTTGGTCTTTCGTACGTCTATGTATTATTTATGTCAGTTGTAGTCTTTTGTCAGTCTACGTATTATATCAGTTTGTTTATTGCGTTACCAAAAATCGTGAACCCCGGTGGGAAAACGGTAAGTTTACGAACTTAAAACGCTAAAATCCGGGGTTCTATTCCCCGCGGTGAACTTAGCAGATAGTTTAATGTCACTTTGCTCTAAAACAAACAAGCCTATAATCATACGTTATCCTGAAGAAAAAAAGTAACATCTTTAAAGAATTATTGCACTTCTCTGGGACAGGAGAGTTTTGGACCACCCAGTAAATAACTCACTGACTCATCGTATTAAGTTCAGAATGGTCTCTGGATTTTGTTACAACCTGTAGCTTGTTACTTCACTTGTTTTTTTACTCAACTTTAAATTTGTTACGCTTTCACAACTTTTGGAAATAAATTTTAGCCTGTCCAATTTTTATTACACCCTTTTTTATTGATAAATGTAATTAACTAAAAAAAAAAAAAGACCATTATGTGAGGGTGTAGTCACAAAAAAATCCTCTGAAACGGAGTAAGAATATGGAGAGGTGAGGGAATTATTTGAATGACATTAGCACGTTTTGTCTTGTCTGGATCGGACCTGGGAGGGTAAGATTCAATTCAGACCCCTTTCTCTCCGTAACTCGTTTTTTGTTCGTTTATTTGATTTGCTGAACTTCGCGCAAAGCTACTCGAGGGTTATTTGCGTTAGCCGGCTCTAATTTAGAAGTTACGGAAGAGAGAGGTTAGGCAGCTAATTAGCACCACCAAGTCTTTTACCAACGAAAAGTGAGATTCATTGTACCATTATAACGCCCTCACGGCTGAATTGGCGAGCATGTTCGGTGTTAGGATTTGAACCCACGACCTGCAGATTACGACTCAAATTCCCAAACTCACCAGGCCACCCGTAGCTTTCTGTGACGTGTTCAAATATACGGCATCCTACTGTGTATATGGGATCACACGCGCTTTAAAAAATGTCTAATGGGTTCCTGTCAACTATAGAACAAAATTATTGATTTTGTTTTATTTCTTAAAAAAATATTCCTACGCTAGCTGGCCAGTGACGTGAAATGATATCTTGGCAGTTTTTTTTTTTTAATATTTTTATCAATACAATTTTGGTTTAAATTGTGATTTATGAAAAAGTAAATAATAATCGTTTCACACACACAACTAAGTTAAGAGATATAGTGTAAAAAGTCTAGAAGCGACATCTATATTTCATAAGTTTTAAAGCTTGGTTTGAATTTCGCACAAAGCTACACGAGGGCTATCTGCGCTAAACGTCCCTAATTTAACAGTGAAAGACAGCTAGTCACATTAGAACGGCTGAAAGGGCGAGCGTGTTTGGTTGGACGGGGATTCAAACCCGCGACCCTCAGATTGCGAGTCGAGCGCCCAAACCACCTGGCCATGCCGGGCCAATTCTAAAGAACTGGAATAAAATATTTTAAATAAACCGTTTAGTGTTCTGGAAGAAAAAAAATCATTCTTCTTTTTTTTTTCTACAACAGCTGTTAACTCTGATTAAATCAGGGTTTTAATTGTCTCAATAGTGTTTGAGGGGTAAACTCATCTTGTGTGAGACCATGTAAATAAACTTAACTAAAATAACTCCGTTTCACTCACGTTTTCCGAACGCGATTAGAATATCCACGTCGTTTACAGGAGATTTGTTGTCCTCTCTGAAGAGAAGCGGGATCACTTCACTCCACATACGAAAGGCCAGTGCTAGTGCTGCCCTCTGTTTGGTGACTGGTAATTGTCTGCTTGTTGCCGATCTGATAAGCCTCCACCTAACAACGATCTGCAATAATCCAATTAAAGAAATAAGTGGGAGAGAAAAAATGAAGGAGAAACAAACAAGTATTTTTAGCGAGATATATATACAAACTCATAATATTATAATGACACGTACATGTCGCTCAAGTTAATTCGCAAAGACACATACAGAGTTCCCTGGACTGAATAAAAAAACGAGAACAACATCAGAGGGGCACTCAGTAGAGCGCATGCCTCCGCCACGCAGCGTTGATCATTTTCGGCTCTGAAAAAAATATGAACATGTGTCAGTACGTCCGTCGTTACCCAACGGACATGTAGCATTTTTTTTTTTTGGCGGGAATGACATTCTACAAATATCCACCAAGTTTCGGTCAAAATATGATCATTTTTTTTGAGTGAGTTATAGAGTAAAAATAGTTTGAAAAATCGGCCCCTATGTTAACCGATAGGGATTTTGTTTTTATTTTTGTGACCTTGACCCACCCCAAAACAAATCACTTCTAAGTTGGGTCATAGTCCAAATGTAAACCAACTTTCGTCCATATCCATTCAGCAGTTGACAAATCTGGCTGACAAACACACACACACAGAGCTGAAAACAGCTTCCATCCAACTTCGGTGGCGGAGGTAACTGGATGTCAGTAACGTCGTACTTAGTCACATCTCAAGTTCAATAACCAATTTTAACAAATTATTGAAACTCGAAACATTAGTTTTAAAAATAAATTAAACATAACCAAGCTGTTAAAGAACAAAATGCGAGTCTGAAATTGTATTACAATAATTAAGAAAAAAAAAAGTGAAAAAAAAGCCGTTTGAATTATTGAGATCAACAGCTAATCAACTTTCAGAACACATGTAATTGGTCGATACACAGCTAATCAACTTTCAGAACACATGTAATTGGTCGATACACAGCTAATCAACTTTCAGAACAAATGTAATTGGTCGATACACAGCTAATCAACTTTCAGAACACATGTAATTGGTCGATACACAGCTAATCAACTTTCAGAACAAATGTAATTGGTCGATACACAGCTAATCAACTTTCAGAACACATGTAATTGGTCGATACACAGCTAATCAACTTTCAGAACACATGTAATTGGTCGATACAAACTATCCAAGATTTTTGAAAATGAATGCACTGTTTTGGCTAACTGGGTTCAAGCTCCAGTCCCAGTTTCTTTTCACTTAAAACAATTTTTGTTAGAAAATGTACTTTAATTGATTCATAATATGAATTGAACTTACTATTACTACTCTAAAGTCTGTAAATGTAATTGTATTTCAAGTATACAACTTCTGTAAACACATAAAACAATTCTCTTTCATTTATTAACAATGCCCCCCCCCACTAATCATATATCACCATTAATTCTTAGATTCTGCGGAAAGTACAGCTAATTATATTCCAACTGTTTAGCTACGAATGTTTGAAAGGGGAGTTAAACCAATAATCCTTCTCTGCACTCTTTCCATCAGCTTAGCGTTAGTATACCCCAAACTGAAGATGTTTTAAAGAGCAATTAAACTAATAGTTATTCTCTGCACTCTTTCAATAAGCTCACTGTCGCTATACCCCAAACTGAAGATGTTTTAAAGAGGAGTTAAACTAATAATCCTTCTCTGCACTCTTTCCATCAGCTCAGCGTCAGTATATCTCAAGCTGAAAGTATTTCTTTTAAAAAATTAAACCAACAATCCTTCTCTGTCCATCAGCTCAGCGTCAGTATACCCTAAGCTGAAGGTATTTCTTTCAAAAAATTAAACCAACAATCCTTCTCTGTCCTCTGTCCATCAGTCACATCCTTAGTCCTTGTTCTTTAGCACCTGTGGTTACTCAGTGACGCCCAAAGTACATACGAAACTGTTTTGAATTTCGTGCAAAATTAGACGAAGGCTATTTGCGCTAGCCGTCTAGTGATTTAGTAGTGATATTTAGCAGTGATAGAGTAGAGGGAAGGCAGCTAGTCAATACCGTCCACCGCCATCTCTTGGGGTATTCTTTTACATACGAATAATGGGATTGACCAAACACAGCGCCCCCACAGCTGGGAGGGTGAGCATGTTCGGTGACGGGGGTCTGCGAATCGAGCGCCCTAACCATCAAGCCACAGCTGGCGCAGTGTTTACTATTTAAGGTTGCGCCCTGTGCAGTAGCGTATTTAACATCGGGGTCCCTCATATCGCAGGCCCCCAAAGTAAAGCAAAAATAAATAAATAAACTTATTAATTTCTATACCTATAGTAGATCAGTATGGATTGGCCTCCTAAGAAAATTGCATCGGGTAGTCTGAAGTGTTAAAAATGCCTCTGGCCCTGAGGAGCCCCCCAGTGGCACAGCGGTATGTCTGCGGACTTATAACGCTAGAAACCGGGTTAAGATACCCGTGGTGGGCAGAGCACAGATAGCCCTTGTGGAGCTTTGTGCATAATTAAAAACAAAAAACAAACCCTGAGGACTGGTAGTTTTGAAGAAAAACAAACAAAGAAAACACAGTTCAAAGGTTTAGAAATGAAATGTGGGGAGTTGTTTTAGAAAAATACTTTATTGGCCATCCTTTCAATCACGTGTTTCTATACTCTCATCGACAGCAATCAAACTCCATATAGCGTATTAAAATCTTTATTAAACACGGAACACTTGTTATGGTTGTGACTGTTTTATTAGAATAATTATTAGAAAATTATAATACTGACTTTAAATAAACGTGACTTTCAGCATTCAGTGCTCTTGGATATGGACACTCAACTTCAAATCACAGCCTGGTAGTTAGGGGGCGCTAGACTCGCAATCTGCGGGTTCAAATCCCTCTCACCGAACATGCTCTCCCTTTCTGCCGTATGGGGCGTCATAATGTAACGGTCAAACCCACTATTCGTTGGTTAAAAGAGTAGCTCAAAAGCTGGCGGTGGGGAGATGTTGACTAGCTTCCTTCCCTCTAGTCCATCACTTTGAAATCAGGGACGAGAAATGCAGATATTCTTCGATTAGCTTTGCGTGAAATTGAAAACAAAATAAGCCAAATCAATTCTTCAAATCAAGAATAACACAATATTTCGCAAACTGATTTCATAAGACGGGCGGATAGTTACCTCGAAGGTAGTGGCTGCGGCAGATTTACCGGCAGCGTTTAACACGACGACAGTTTCC